GAGAGGTCCCTTAGGTGCCTGGTAGACGAACAAAAGGAGCTAATGAGATGTTTACTTCCACCAGCATGGTGGCAATGATGTAACGTGTGAACCACCTACTCCGATTTCAAATTTACCGCCATAAATAAAGACAGTTTGCATTGGAGAAAGGAAATACAAATCTCAAAAATTCTTGTATTGCGATTAAGACATAAAACAACTTTGAGGAATGCGCCCGCTGTTCACTGCTTTGGATTAGCTATAGCTCAAGCTGACCTGACTCTTAAAGTTCTACATCACACGACGGTTGATTGACAAATGGTCCAGAGGTACCTAAGGCACCTCTCCTTTTACAGCGCGCCTTCGTGTTTAAACCGTGTTTAACGAGACAGCTTTGTTTTGGTGTGAGTAAGGTTTTAGATTTCCACGCCAAAAATGGATTTTTTAAATGATTATAAACCTGAGAAGTGTCATATTTTCCAAAACTTATCCCGAAATGTTTTATCCCTGTTCTCTTAAGAACTTCAACAGTAAAATTAGCTCCTCTGGATCCAAAGTCGTTTAAATGATTGTTGGCGACTGTTACGGCATCAAATCCAGAAAAACTTGTAGAGGAGAAAAAAATAATGAAGACAAATGAATAACAACATAAATTATGCAAAATAGAAAATGATAAAATGGGTCGTCAAATAAAGGCAAATTTTCAACTTTATTTGTCAGAAGCATGTAACAAAGGAAATCTGAAAAGTTTTAAGCCTTTGCGCTCGTTTTTAGTAGGAGGGGGGGGGGAGGGGGGGGAATAGGAGAGACAGAGGAGAAGTCTTGAAAACTTTCCAATCAGAAGCGCCAACGTTTCCTAGTAGAATAGAGATTGTGCGGAGGTCCCAGCTCAAGGACGTCAGGCAAAATTGAAGCACGCAAGCTTCTCCGCCCACGGATATACTTAAAGAATAGTGGAGTAGAGTTTTGGCCGGGCTCTGGCTCTAGTACCAGACCCCTTTGCAGACGTTGAGCTGGCATGAGTTGCACAAAGAGGCGCTCTTGCCGATTACTTTACCTCAGTGCCGATGCAGCCTGAGGGCTGGCATATAGTGAAACTGATTTTTCCATTTTGTAGGGGTCGTCAAGCATCTCTTGAGTAACAAAAGGAGACTCCAGATTACCAACCGAGATGTCAGCCTCTCTTATATATGGTGCCACGTCGTTGAAAGAGTCATTATAGGAGTGATAACCATGTTCTACGTAATATCTCACAGGGTCAGAGAAGGAAATATCTCCCACAAACATTAAACTGACCCTTCCTAAACGTAAAGACAAAACAAACGTTATGAAATGTTTGTAATTATTTAAATGCCAGTGATAAGGAATTAAAGCAACTTTCAATTGAGCGCCAAAATTGACTCGAAGTTGATCGTAATGTCTTTATTAATCGATTTTCCATTTAGCATGTAGAAGCTTTAAAGTGACATGTTGATGAAAGGCCTAGTTCATTTTATTATCTGGACCAAATTTGGCAATTTAAAAAGCTTCATCGCCTTGCAATGAATGAATGAATGAATGAATGAATGAATGCATGATTTCATGAACATGAATGCACGAATATGAATGCATGAACATAAATGATTGAACGCATGAATGTATGAGTGACGTTTTATTCACTCAACATAAATTGTTGAATCAGATTCATGACATGACAGAAAATGCGTGCACTGTAAGTACCTCCCGTTGTCTCATACAAAGCTTTAGAAAACTTTTCTAAGGCTTTGTATGGGACAACGGGAAGTACTTACAGTGCACGCATTTTCCGTCATGTCATGTGATTTTACAATAATTTTACAATATTATAGAGAACTAAACTGATGTATTGGCATTAGAACTTTATCGTCATTGTGTTTTTAACTGGAAGTGAAGTTAAGCAAAGTTTTCTTGTTTGCTCCCCGAACAATTTAAGTTTCAGGTGGCGGCGGGTAAGTCGACAGGAAAGAAAAGGAAGGGAAATGTTGTCGAAAGCGTGCTCATTGTAGAAAGAGGTTGCTTAGTTTCTTCTTACTCTTGTTTAGGGTAGAAAACGTTGACTTGCTCCGGATAGGCAATTACACTTGGGTCTTTCAAAGAGGGTGGAACGTCGCTCAAAATATTGATTGCCATGAAAGAATAGATTGTCTACCCATGCAAATAGTTCGCACTTTACGCCTGTATAGGTTCAACGTTTCTAAGTTGCCGGCTGTAAAAGAATCGAATGATCGAATTGATCTAAGAGGATTTTTCTCAATAGCTACTGTTATATCTCACTGTGGTGAGGCAGATGCATGGTGTCTTCTCTTTCAGTGACAAAAGTCTTTGTTGTTCATTATCAACAGGAGTGACTTAAGCCAATTAACCCTTTAACTCCCAGAAGTGAATAGCATGTTATTTCTCCCTATAATATCCGTCAGACATGATCCAGAAAACAGGTAATGCGAATACTCAAACTTATAAGGTAGAAGTTGTTACCCTAACTGGACGTTAAATTTTCGTAACCAATTTACAAGGAAATATGTAGCAGCTGGAGTGTAGAATTAACAGAAGTAACCCAGCAAACACAGGTGTTTTCACACGAAAACACGGGAGCCGGTGGAATTTTACCAGCTGTGTGCATTAACAGACAATGAAGATATCCTGGCTACATGAAAATTTCATAAGTTACACTTTTTTCTGAGCTTGGCTAAAGCGTTCGCTATTCTATTGATGTTTTGAGCAAGCAAACTCGTAAGTGAACATTAGTGCTTTTTGGTTGCCGGTGACACGAAGAAACATGATAGTATAAAGCGTGATTATGCTGTCTGTTAACGGAACACGGTACACGGTACACGGTACGCGGTAACAACGCTTGTAATATCAGAGTGGAAACTGTATTTCCTCATGGTATAGCGATTGACCAGTTCATTTAGTAAACATTAATTAAACGACACATACCTTTATTTGTGTTAACTGCATATGATCCGGATAGCAACAAACAAATGGTTGTTAAATTCAATATAAAACAAGGAACCATGGTCTGGTGTGTTGAAATTATTACTTTCTACTTGTGTTTGTAGAAAAATGCTCGAGTATGAGTGGTTGAATTGGCTGTTTCAGGCTCAAACTGTCCGATTTCACCTGTCCGATCAGAAACACTTGTAATCGGACAGGTGAAATCGGAGAGTGGAGCAGCCAGTCTAATTAAAGCACTTTTAGTATTCATCCAATCAAACTTAACAACCATACTAATGCTAGCCAATCGAAATGAAGAAAATTTTCAGTTGGGCATGCAGCTGCGTTCAGGTGAAGAGGTTCACATTAGAGACAAGTATCTATCAATAAGAACCATGTGTGCTCATACATTAGATTTTTTATAGATAGATAGATAAGTAAAGTAACAGTAAAGTAACAATAACGGTAAAGGTAACGATAACGGTAAAGGTAACGGTAACGGTAACGGTGAAGGCAACGGTAACGATTAAGGTCACGGTACCGGCACCGGTACCGGTAAACACTATCTATTTAAGAAAGAAGGGAACATCCCACTCTATGTGCACAAAAACTCCAACCATCCACCGTCAATCCTGAGAAAAATCCCGGAATCCATAAACAAGAGGCTGTCAGAAACTTCGTCCGACAAAGAATGCTTCGACGATGCCAAGCACATTATAGAACAGTTTGCCACGCGATATAAGGAACACAGAGTCTCTGGGGTTATTTAAACGTAAGATCAATGACATTTTTAAAGTCTAACGCACGACATTCACGGAAAACAGCTTTAGTGTTATAGTATGTAGTTTTAATTTTAAATAGTTAAGTGTACGATAAGGACGTAACGAAGAGACCAACTCTTGACTGTTCTGGACGAGTCCAGAACAGTCAAGAGTTGGTCTCTTCGTTACGTCTTCATCGTACACTTAATTACAAATTCACGTCGAGGCATTGTATCCTGTGGATTCTCTTACTGGGAGTTTATCGTTAGGTATACCAATTTTACGCTGCTTAGACATATATATGTATATATATGTGTGTGTGAATTTTATATATATGAGAGTCTTACCGATGGTTTTTGCAGAAACGGCGTATTTAAACAAAATCAGAAAGTAAATAAGAATACTCATGAGGTTGAGGTCAGTAAAACAATCAGATCAAACCACCGAACCGGAGCAATTATTGATCTGAGAGTCTCAATGAGGCTTTTATTAACCGGAAAACGGACAATGAAAAATAGCCCTTGGGCGTACAAATCATCTTGTTTTGACCGTTGGTAGTAAAAAAGTAACCCTAAAATATTAACCGTAAAAGTCACAATCTCATTAAGACCCTCTGTTCTGGTGCAAACAGGTGGACTAGTGCCTGTTTCATCTTCACCTTTTGTTAATGATAACAAATGCTTTTAACAAGTAACCAGTAAGCCCCCTTGTCTCGTTCCAAGCCGTTGTTTGATCTCGCCTCTTCCTCACCACATATGGGTCTTAGTGGGATATTGGTTTTACGACTAACGGTTAAAACTGTGGCCATTTTTGTGGGGATCGATTGCCGGTTGGGTGACGAGACCGAACAAAGGCTGGGAAGCAGACTATCATGCCCCGCGTGCTTTTGTTTTTCGCCATTTATTTAGCTATCAATTGCAAGTTACAACTGGGAAAAAAGACTGAAGGCGGCGAGTAAGCCCATGACAAACTACAGAGCTTTTACATGATGCATGGCACCATCTGGCAATTATTATAACCATAGTGTAAGTTTTAAGTACGACATTTCTTTTTGTCGGGTTCTTTGCGCGTTTGAAAGTTATAAAGTCTTTTCACTCAGTAACTAGTGAACTTATATACTTATTGTTTCATCAGCGCCTTACTTTGTCATTTTATTGCCACCTCATTGCTGCCTTATTATTACTTCGCATAATTTGCCGACGTACTTCGCCTGTTTTCTCGTTTTTTGCGCCAAGCGCAGTTCAGTAACGTCTATAATGCATTAACGTCATAAATCTTGGGCCGTTTTCTGTGGCCGTTACAGTGTAATTGTTTTATAGTCATCTTTCCATTGTGTTGGACGCTTATACTGGTGTACGTGTAACTATTGTCAGTAATAAAATAATTTGGATATATCAACAAAGTTGAAATGGTAAATTGGCCACCGTAATGATTACGCAGCCCCAAACAGTTTCTTTCGAAACTATCAGCCTTTATTATTGTCAGTAATAGTTAGCTATTTTTTAGTTTCAACGTACGCCATTTACGCCGCAAATAAAATGAATCGTAGTAATCTAGACACAACGTGGAGCTGTCTTTTTTCAAGCCAAAGATTTCGCATATTGCAGTAGAATAGTGATGAATCAATGGCAGAGTAGAGAATGAGTAGAGCTATAAGTTAACGTTGTTTTAACTTACTTATTTCTGTAAAGCATAATAAGTCTAAAAAAGGCGAGAATCGAAGAGAAAAGAAAAGAGAGAAAATATGGAGATTTATTGATATGTTGATTATGCAGGACACGCCAGCTTTACGATAAGAGGAATACATTCTATTTCGAGGTGAAAGAGAAAAAACCAAGAATTAAGTATTTTGAATTTCACAGTTAGGAGAATCTCTTAAGAAACATTTGACAAAAACTCATAGTAGCAGGTTCAAAACCAGTCGTGCTTCCCCGAAATGCGAGCTGTAAGGGAGAAAAGAATTGAAAATGAGGATGATAAATGTGCCTGTCCCCAAGGCCAGTGCAGTTTGAACAGCAATTGAAAAAAAAACTTAGTTCATCATTTCTGTTACTCTTTGAAATATGTCCATAGCAAATCTTATCATAGCGATTTCAGGGTGTTACAAAATATCAATCAGTATGACAAGGACGACACAGGCTTTCGCTTCATGAAGTCTTCTTTTCTTATCTACGTTTCAATGAGTGTACTTTTGTAAGTTGCAGTTTAGCTCTTGAGGATCGACTCGTCACTTCATCAACGAGTCAAATACGCGTTTGTGTATCGAATCTTTTCGCCTGTGTCTAGTTTGATATCTACCCATTTCTCTTTAAACTTCAAAGATGATTATTGCCATACAGGAAAAAGTCGACAGGCTTTTACAAACCTCCTCTAACTCGGGTGGAAAGGAAAAAGGCAGTCTTTCAAAGAAGAAAAGAAGAAAACGGAGGACGAGAAAATATATTCAAGTTGGCTTACACAGAACAGAGATGTGAATGTCTTCACTGAATACCATTCAACCCCCTGCACAGAAATTCGTGTGTCATACGTTTACTGAGTATGTCAGTGTAACATTGCTTCTAAAGATATAAATTACAGCAGAAGGAGGAAGTTATAGAACAAAGAAAGGTGACCACCTTACACTTTTCTTCTTTCTTTTGAATAGGGACCGAATATCGAGAACGCAACGTACATTTACGTGGGGAACGCACTCTCCAACACTGGATTTGAACGCTGAAGTGGTGAGGCGATCTCTACGGGGAATTCTAGATTTTTAGCGTGCACGGATGTCATAGATGGTTGATAAAAACTTTAAAAGATAATATTAACTTTTTTTTCCACAGGTTCAAGTTGGCGACGAAGGGTGCTGTAAAATTTATTTAGCGTGGCGCGAAACTCTTCAGATCGAGCTTAATCCAAGTCCACTTTTTCCTTGAATTATGCGACTCCCTCAAGTTCTAATTTTCCGTCTTATTTCATATCTGATCGCCGAGTCGCAAAACCTTTCATGATTTTCTTCCAGTTCAGAGGAATACAATTACGGTTCCATTTTCCAATATTTTTTGGGATCGCTGAAGTCCTGGCATTCTTTGTCATTATCTCCACAAACAGTCGACCATTTTGTGTGTTGCACAGGTTCAGGGTGAAGCCGTTTCTCTTTGGGATCAAATGCAAGTCTCATAGGGTGATATTCAGCTTTTACTATACCATGTCTGAAAAATGACAACAGTTTATCTTAGCGATGCAAACAATCCATGCGTTTTAAAGAAAACTGAAATGTGGTGAGCTGAAAGGTTTTTTTATCGTGCAAACATGCGAAAATGGCTAAACGGACACTAATGGCAAAAACGCCAAAGCCGCCACTACTGGCCAAAACGGCAAAATGGCCACGAGTGGCCAAAATGACGAAACAGCCCCTGGTGACTAAAATGCAAACTACGACGACTAGTGGCCAAAATGTCAAATCCACCACCAGTGGCCAGAATTACAAAACGGCCTCTAGTGGCCAATATGTCAAAAGGGCCGCAGGTAGAGAAAATGTCAAGGCGGCCACAAGCGGCCAAAATGCAAAAACAGCCACTGGTGGCCAAAATGCCAAAACGGCCATTTGTGGCCAAAATGACGAAATGGACACTAATGTCCAAACTGGCAAAATGGCTAGTCTTCTCGGATAAGGACGAATAAATGGAGGTCCCGTCTCCTGCAGGGTTGAGGGTAGGAGACGTTAATTTCCCACGCACGAGATTATTGTGTGATGGATGTCCTTCCCTAGGGTGGGATGTACAGGCTCCCATTTAAACCAGCTTCAAGCTGAACTGGGTTGGCCTGTCTAAATGTCGTAAATACATACAATAGATACATACAAATGTTAAAACAGCCACTAGAGGCCCAAATGCCAAAATGGCCACCAGTGGCTAAAATGACAAAACGGCCACTAGTAAGCAGAAGGGCCAAATGGCCACCAGGGGCCAAAATGCCAAAACGGCCACTATAGTGTCTAAAAGGGCCATTAGTGGCCAAAATGCAAAAATGGTCGCTAATGGCCAAAACGGTAAAACGGTCACTAGTGGCCAAAATGACAAAATAGCTACCAGTGGCCTAAATGCCACAACGGCCACTGGTGGCTAAAATGGTTAAATGGCCACTGATTACTAATATGCGAAAACGGCTACTAGTGGCCAGAATGGAAAAACGGCCACCAGTGGCCAAAATGGCCAACTGGCCACCGGTGGCCAAAATGCCAAAACAGTCACTAGTGGCCAAAATGGCTAAATAGCCACTGGTTACTGAAATGCGACAACGGCCACTAGTGGCTTAAATGGCAAAACGGCCACTAGTGGCCAAAATGGCCAAATGGCCATCAGTGGCCAAAATGCCAAAACGGTCATTAATGGCCAAAATACCAAAACGTCCAATGGTGGCCAAAATGCAAAAACGGCCACTAGTGACCAAAATTCCAAAACGGTAACTTGTGGCCAAAATGGCAAAACGGCCACACGTGGCCAAAATGGCCAAGTGGCCACTGTTTACTAATAAGCAAAAACGGCCACTAGTGGCCAAAATGCCAAAACGGCCACTAGTGGCCAAAATGGCCAAAAAGCCACTAGTGGCCAAAATGCCAAAATGGCTACAAGTGGCCAAAATGGCCAAATAGCCACTCGTGGCCAAAATGCTAAAACGGCCACTGGTGACCGAAAAGCCAAAACGGCCACCTGTTGCCAAATTGCCAAATCGGCCACTAGTTGCCGAAATCATGATGCCAAAACGGCCACTAGTGACCGGCAAATTGCCAAAATGGCCACTAATCACCAAAATGTATGATGCACGATCCTACGCAGTAGATAGCGCTATTTACGCAATAGCGAAAATCAGACCTGAAAAAAATCAGGCCTGTACGGGATTCGAACCACTAACCTCTGCGATACTAGTGCAGCGCTATACCAATTGAGCTAANTCAGTAAATGTACTACTCGCAGTAATCCTACTATACTGGAAATACCTGCATGCTGTAAAATTAACATAAGTCAGTAAACTCTCCTAGTTCTATGTGAAGTTCATACATTTTATCATCACGGGTTTATTACGAATCAACTTAACGGCCTGCTCCCAGTTGGCTTGTTAGCTCAATTGGTAGAGCGCTGCACTAGTATCGCAGAGGTCAGTGGTTCGAATTCCGTAAAGGCCTGATTTTTTCCAGGTCTGATTTTCACTATTGCGTAAATAGCGCTATCTACTGCGAAGGATCGTGCATCAAACGTATTTAATACCGCAGTTCAAAATATATGAACTTCACATATTCATTGAATCACCAAAATGGTACTAGTGCCAGACCCGTTTGCAGACCTCTCGCTGGGTTGCGGTGCTCTAGGCCTGATTCTCTCCCGCGGGCGAAGAAGCGCTCGCGCTGAATCATGAATCGTGATATGTAGCCTACTCGGAGGCTAATTGGATGAAAGACAACGCACGGTCTACGCTGGCAATGTGTTAACATTGGAAGGGACTGCGGTGAACCTGGGATCTGGCATTGAATGTCTGATCAAACAAAATGAAAAATCCTAGCAACAGCATCAGAATTTCTCTTTGCAATGCCTTGCCATATTTATTAAGTTGCGGTCTGAAAGGCAATGTAACTCACGAACAAGTTTGGCAGCCCACCATGTGTCCGCACAGAATCAGCAAAACATTCATTTTATCAAAATAGCTGTACAATGTTTATATACATAGATGTATGCATGTTATAATATATCACGGATATTTTTATTTAACTGAATAGTTAATGAATACAGTTAACAACTATTCACTGAAGTGGTGGTGGTTACTGGTGGATATTTACCGAGCCGCGAAGCGGCGAGGTAATCAAATATCCACCGCTAACCACCGACACTGAGGTGAATAGTTGTTTTAGTATACACTAAAACAGTGAGATAATATACACCACCAAAAATTGATTTGAGTGATTTCTTCCCTTGTCACGAATGCAAACCGGGACGCCATTTTTTCCCGAGTTGCTCGGAGGTAAATAGCAAAGGATAGTCGGAGTTTGATAAGCCAGTCAGAGCGCGCCTTCAACGCTATCCACTGTTTTAGTATATACTAATTTGTATCATTTTTAGTTTTTTTTTTAAAACAGGGCATCCCTTGATAAAAGTTTTATCACATGACTGTAGGATTCACAATCATTTATAATAAGTAAAGGTTTATTTAATTATTCTTACGGGTGGCCCATCACTCACAGGGCATTTGTATTCCAGTCATATGGAAGAATTATATTTTAGGTATTTATGTCATCTAGTACCATAGAATATGATGTATTTACCTTGAGACAGTTACTCTTAACATCTGGGTCATTTTCAGTATATCCATTGCTTTATAAGTGACGTATTCATATGATTCAATCAAGAAAGGATTTGGATCAAAACCCTTCCCACCATAAACTTGCTGCGTACAAAAATGAACTAAGTTAAAATCAAACAAACAAACAAACAAACAAAGCCAGATGTTTCTAATTAACAAGCCTCCGTGTCTCCCATGAATTGCCAGCATTTACAATAAGTAAGATCTTTTCAATTGCCCCGGATAATTAGGTTTTGGCCTCGTTTTAGCTAATCGACACTTAAACGTGATTTTCATTCGGATCTCAATGTTTTAAGCAGGACACAAACCTTATTGACTTTACGTAACACACGAGCTATTACCGACAGTGCCATCTGATTGGCTAGAATCGGCGTTCGCGGGATGGTTAAATAAGAAGCTCTTTCAAAAATTCCTGCCAGTTACGCGAGTAAGGAAAATTGCAACTCAGAAGTGGACATGTTTTTTTCTATCAGAATGTTTTTATTTTATCTTTCAATGAAAAAGACACTCTAAACCAACAGCCCACAACTTTTATAACTCAGCTATTAGAACAAAAAGTTTTTCCCCCTTATTACAGCTGTACTTGAAAATAATCAATTCCCTATGTCACACTTAATGGTCTTCATTTAATCAATATAATCTATATTCTCTTAATTTAAGAGAAAAAAGCTGGTTACCGGGTTATTTCCTCCTATTGGACGCAAAGGGGGAAACAAGAAATTTCCTAGACTGTATGCCACGAGTCTCTTGTCCTTGGTCAGCCAATGAGGTTGCAGCACGTGCGGATGTGATCCAATGATTATCTGGACTCCAAGAGACAAAAGATGCTTTGTTATATGAATTTGGTAAGGCAGCGGTTTCAAAAGTATTTCTCTTCCCCAGTGCATGAATACCACGATGATATCCACGCCAGCCTGTGAGGGTTAAAAAAGAATCCAATTTTAATTCAAGCCGGTTGTACGTGTACATATTTTTTGTATAATCTTTGAGTTATTAATCCTGGGACTGACTTAGAATAAAGGTTGATAGTTTCGAAAGAAACTGTTTGGGGCTGCCTCGGTGGTAGTAACGAAATATTTTGGATATTTCAACAAAGCTGAAGTGGTAAATTGGCCACCGTAAGGATTACAAAAGCTGACGTTTCGAGCGTTAGCCCTTCGTCGGAGAATAAAGGTGACAATGAAGAGAAGGTGTAAGCATTCTTTGTTCTCTAAGTGAACCTAAAGTTTTGACTTTGTGTTAGCTCGATTTCAGTTCAGTCTGCAAGGTATATTAAAGTTCACACAGCAACCAGGTAGACAATCAGGCATGGTTTGATGCTACTCTGGTTTAAGGATCTAATGCACATAACCTTGAAAATTATAATTCATCGACCCAACGTTTCGACACTCCTGTCCAATATCTTCATCAGGGATGGTTTGATCGTTTCAACAAGAGGTCCAAGAGCGTCGAAACGTTGGGTCTATGAATTGTAGTCTCCCTGGTTAAATTCATTAAATCCTTAAACCAGAGTAGCAAAAGTAAGGTATATTACTTATTTAATGTCACAAGGTTTCGAAGCAAAAACAGTATTAAGATTAATAGTTACTGTGATTATAATATTTGCTAAAGGAAGCCAAGTAAAGTCATGTAAAGGCCATGTGGTTTCTCATCGGTCTTTTCACCAATTTTAGTCTTTTTGAGCATTAAAAACTTGATGATGAAATTCGTGACCAAAAAGATGAAACGCAACCCGTAAGATTGCGATGATAAAGGCTTAATACAATAAGACCTTACCTCTTTCATTGTTCTAACATCTCTAGAGGCAATATCATCCCGATAAATGGCAGGACCAGATTTGAACATCCTCCTCATTACAGTGCAGTTTGGAAAATCTGGTACGTGGTCACAGTACCCGAGGAAGCCCACTCTTATTCCTTTTCTTTCCATTATCAGTGGTTCCTAGGAATAATCCACCAAACAAAATATTTGAATTTTTTTAATCTAAACAATTTTAAAAGTTTATCTCGATTCCTTCGGAGGGAGTTAACAAACATCGCGAGAACAGCTTGAACTGTTCGAGTTCTGTCCACGATTCGAGAACTCAGACGGATTATGTACTAAGAGCAAAAACGGAATTCTTTCCAGTCGCAGCTGTTTTTTTCCAAGTTTTCAATAGGCTTTATGATGAAGACAAGTATGTTTTGGCTATTTGGGCGCGACTTTCTCTACTTTTACAACAATTTCAAGCTAAGAACAATTAATTTCTTGGAAAGTTCCAGTTGATATTCTATCCATAACGCTAACTGATTTGACTGCTCTATAACCATTAATCTCTTTTCTTACAAAGAAAAGATGTCCATCTAGTGAACAAAGTTCTACCCACATAAATTTTTATGATTTTTCGAGCCCATTTTGTTGTTGATCTTGCTGTCGTTGTCGTGGTGTATGTGGAGTCAACATGCTGGTAACATAGCATTAAAGACCTAATTAAATCGAGAACTATTATTGATATGAAGCTACCTGAGATGAGTCAAACCTCCCATAAGTTATGCCGAAGTATTTTATTCCTTCCTTCTTAAGAATTTCAACTGTAAAGTTAGCCCCTTCAGTGCCGAAGTCGTTGAAATGGTTGTTGGCAACTGTGACAGCATCAAAGCCAGCAAAGCTGTGGAACATCGACAGCTGTTGTAAATAACATTCTCAACATTATATGAATTAATAAAGATTGCCATGAGAACTTTTTGGTCTGGTGCTGAGGGAAAGTGGTAAATCGTTGTGCCGTACATGAAGATTATGGGGTCACATGCGTGCAGCAGGTTTTCTTTTCTGAATACATTTTTGCAGCAGGAACTTTATGATTTTAGCAGTTTCCTTGTGATAATATGTTAACTTAAGCATAGACTCCCTTAAGACGCAGACTTCACTCACAGCACGAAAACGCAAATTTACGTGGGCTTAAAGGTTTTGACATCAAGAAGTCGACTTAGAAATGATGAAATTGCTTGATGCGAAGGTCGGAAAATGTGAGTGACAAATTTAAGTCGCTATTTGTTTGGAAGAATGGTGCACGTTTTCTAGACCAGTAACAGAGTAAGAAACTGAGCAAAACTAATGCAATCCCAGACTATTTTCGATACTCAACAGAAAATTTCTATAAGCTCTCTGTTTACCTCAATGCTGGGGCAGCTTTGGGGCTGGAATCAAGGATCGTCAGCCTTCTCTTATCTTTAAACATGTGACGATAAACCTTGTTGTCGACGAAAGGACACTCCAAATTGGCCACGGATATATCAGCATCCTTGATGTATGCCGCCACATCACTGAAAGAGTCATTATATGTGTGATAATTGTGTTCAACGTAATATTTTACGGGACCAGCAAAGGAAATATCGCCCACAAACAGCAAAGTGACGTACTCTAAGGGTAAACATTGTAAATTATATCCTTGGTCTAAATAGAAATCATGGTTAGAGTTCTGTCTTCCCGAGAGTTCTGATATCGCAATGATGAAGTCCAAGGATTGGAAAATGAAACTTCAAAGTTCTTAACAGTGATTATCATATCAAATCCGTGTGTTTCGCCTAATTTGAAAATCATTTTGTTTGTTTTTGCTTTCGATAGCCAAATATGTGATTATCACATGGGTAATAATCTTTGCAAAGTAACGCCTACTTTGGAAACTTAAGTCTCCGTAGCCTTTTATTTAAAGCTACTAAAGAAAATCTTTAAAAAGAATAGGCAACTTCAGGCGACTTGAGACTCCTCGATTGTGTAAAGTGACAAAATAACGCTGAAAGGATTGTTTGAGCGATAAAATAGCCAATTGAAAGTTGTTTTTACTTTAAGGTGTTCACAAAACCTCATTCAGTTGAAGCAAATTTTGGAAACATGTCACGGTGAAATTACTTTTGAGTTAGGAGAATAGTACAGCATCAAGTTGGTGAGATACCTGTATGCGTAGGAGAACTTAACTCGACTGAACTTGCATTGATCTTAACTTCAACTGTTTTATGCTCACCTTCATCGGCTTTAACTGCGAACGAAATAAATGGTATTAAAAAGTAAATTACTAAGTTCGTGACTTTTTTTTTAGCCGCCTAGAATTAAAATGTTGGCTATTTCTTCTTACCATGCGGTCAATGAAAGCAAATAGCACAACGTGTAAATGATGGTAAGAGCTGGTAATTTGGTACCTTTCTGTGGAGCTTAAAAGGTTGAATGACCTCAAATTAGTTTGGAACACGTTTGAGTGGCAGATATATGATAAAGCTACAATCAGCGTCAAAATGAATTGACACAATGTGTTTAACAGTTTTTTTTATTTTTAAAATCCCACTTTAAATCCCACATCTGAAAAAAAGTCATTGTCGGACAAGATCCCCCTTCTTACTATAAAGCTCTCATATAATTTGTACGAACTTCATTCCTTGAGGCTGTTACTTTCCAAGAGACTATAAAGTGTTGGTACTATTCTGTTCCTCAGTGCACATATATGGTGCTTAATTATGGTAAAGACGAGGGATCAACATGGTAAGTGTATTTTGTTAATTTGGGCTACAATAGTCCACAACGCAAAATCCTCGTGTTCCTGTTTAGAAGTAGGTGTTTTTTTTTTTTTTTCAGAAAGCTGTTCACGTTCTGATGATCAAGATAATTGATCAGTTATGGAGTGTGATTATATTGACAACCGTCGCTTTCTTTTGAAAAAGGAAATATCGTCCCAAGCACTATTGGGGGCTTTGGAGGAGAAATATTTTATTTTCCTCTTATATTTCGGTACGTCATACAATCTTATAACTGTTTATGATATTAGACAGCGACTTTGAAGAAAACGAAGGCTTCAAACAAACATTTAGCTCACTCATCCAACTCAGTCTTGTTTCTCTGTAATCTTTTAGATTTTGATGAACGTAAAATAAACACTACCTTTCTTTCCGAGGGCGGTGCACGCCATAGTCACCATGAATCAAATCATTCCAAAATTCATAGTAAACTTATAGCGATGGAGTAGTTTTGTTTCTTTCTCCTCGTCTAAAAACTGCTCGATACAATTTAAAGGCGGTCAAACTTGCAATTAAATCTGCTTACGTCCGACAGTGATCCTTTCCTCGGAACACAATGCCACCTGTAAGACTTGAATAGATTTAGAAATCGGTTAACGCTTAGACGTTGTTGTAAATGCACCACGCTGTTCACCAAATGTCACCAGCCGTCCTAGTTGAGGATTTTCAGAGAAGATATCAATATATTATTTTAATTTATGGTTATCATATTATGATTCGTGTTAAATATTTGTCTGTAGTATGTGTTATTCTGGGCTATTTCGGATATCAGTCTTTGATAATTATCATGTAGGCGTTTTTTGATATTCCTCAGCCGCAAATGAAAGCTTAAGCGAGTATACCAATCTCCTAACGAGGTACCCCCCCCCCATTACCGTTCAAGTTTTAAAAGTCATTTCTTTTTACGTTTTGTACCCGAATCTACCGAAATATAAGAGCAAACTGAAATATTTCTCCCCCCACAGCCCACAAGAGTGCTTGGGACGATATTTTCTTTTTCAAAACAAAGCGGCGGTAATCCGGCAGCTGTATATTCACATTAATGATCATCAACCTTTCCATTCAAGGAAAATATAATAGGGTGATAGCTTTTGCGGCTAACAGTAAAAACATTTTTGGCCATTTTACGGTTAACAGTTAATTTACGGGTAAAATTTGTCAATTTTTGTGGCTAGTGGCCGGCAAACGTTTTTGCCGTTTTATTGCTAACAGTTAACCCCATGGAGATTCCCTTCAAGTTGCCTCAATATTTTTAGCAGGAGAGGGGTGGTGAACCATCAGAATTCTTTCAATGTCTTCGCACTAAGAACTTAACAAGGAATTGAGGTCCAGACTTACAAATGCCTAGCTGTAAGATCGCCAAAACAAGAACAATGAGATTGCAAAATCGAAGGGATTTACGTGCTAAAAACAAAGAACGGAAAAGTTTGCCTATGTCACATACTGGTGCAGGTTATGTAGGCAGATGACAGTAAACACAAGATCAGCTAAAAACGCATTCTTCTTGCATTTCAAAGTTTTTTTCTATTCCCTAATAGAGTCAATTAACTGAACTTTTAACTTAATGGTGCGAATTCTTCTGTAATTCACATTGTCACTTAAACCTCGAAACCCCCTTACTTCCCTAAATCTATAACTCTATGGAAGAGGGTACCTGCATAATTGCACCAGTAACGGTGCTACCTGTGAATTAATTTAGCATCATTGAGGAACAGAAGAGCATCAGCAATCTCTCAAAAAGTACCGGTCGCTAGGAGTGAAGTTCGTACAAATTATTTAAGAACTTTCGAATAACCTCTTGAACGTGGACAGATTATCTTAGTTATTTACAAGTACACAAATTTAGTAAATTAAAGGGAAAATAAGGCTTAAGAAAATAATGTGCTGACAAAAATAATTTGAGTCAGATTTTCAAGGATCTTTTCAAAACTCTGGAATTTTTTTAAAAATTTTGATGCTTTTAATGAATTCATTTCGACATGAAGTCTCTTCGATGTTTCGCCGTTTGAAGAGGTTGACAAAAGAGGGGTCTTTATTCCGTTTCTTGCACAAATTTTTGAAAACTTCACTTGTTACGTATATAAAAAGTAAAGCTTCAAATCTCTCTTCTTGCGTACAAGGTTTTTTGGGAAAATTTTGAGGTTCTCACGAAATACAAGAAAATTCATGGGTCACCTACAGTTCAGGAGGTAAATCACGCCTTACGCGGGTTCGTTAATTCACGAATCACGCTCGCCTTACCGTAAAATTCAAGTGTCCCGTATCAATTTTGGTCTTTTTCACATCCGCTTTGAAATCACTGGAGATCCTTACCATCTGATTGGCTCTCATCAGTGCAATTTATTAGCTCTCATTTCCACGGGATCAGTGACCATTGGACTCATCATTGTCTTGACTTCATATATACGAGATTGAGCAAGGGCGAGACCCTTGAAAAATGGGAGCGAAGCAAGAACGTGATTTGAAAGACTCGCACAGAACTATTCTAAGTGGAAAAACAAGTAACACTGACTGATAATACTCGACACACAAAATCTGGACAACAATCAATTAGAAAATTAGAATTTCTTCAAACGTTAAGTACAGATTTATTTAAAAGCACCTGTAAAGATATATAAATCATGATACAGAGTTTATTTCTTTCACGTTATCAATTGAAGGGGGAAATAGCTATCGAGCTCACCACGCTCGGCGAGAGGCACCAAGAATCTCGAGCTGGAATTTTCTTCTTTCTTCAATTACTCGGTTTTCCGGTACGCAATTCTACTTAAAATTAATTTTAAGGTGATCAATCTCTCAGGCTCTCACACTGATTCTGACTGAATACTCCTCATTTATTTCTGCAGATAAACACTCACTTCAACTGCCCGCATTCTTCTCTACGCTGTTCTCCACTCTCCCTTCTCTCTCTAACTTCTCTACCCTATAAGCTCTAAGAATATTTAGTAAATAAACCCCTTCGGGCGGCTGGTATGTCGGCTGATAATGTCCGCGGCTGAGAGATTGTCTAAAAAATGAATATTTGACCGAGAAGCGGAGCTTCGAGGGCAAATATGAATTGTAGTGCAATGAGGATTTATCGTTAGAGTCATTCTATAACACGCGTATTGACTTTTTATACTTTACCTCATTTTTTGTTTTACTTCCATAGGCCAAAGTTGACATCATCGTCGTTTTCATGCACTATGGCAAAGAACTTCATTAGGACCCATTCCCTCTCAACATCACATAAACAAACACCTGTTGTCTCTTGGTGCGGATCTGATCATTGGAGCCCACCCACACGTTCCTCAGGATCACTGTCTTCAAGATAATAAACTTATCGCTTACAGCTCGGGGAATTAACTGAGCACTGAGTGCTGTTGATCCAGTAACGCTGTCGTAGGTTTAACTGTTGATAAGATGTACTTATCAGCTAAATGTAAGGACCGAATGAGAAAATGCTTGCTTGGTTGTCATGACGTACAAACTTCGCCGTGCTCGATTCGTACGTCATGACCTCTTGCGAAATATTTTCTCTCTCTCAGCCCACCAATGCAGTCGATAGGTACACATTACTAGCTAATTTGGGGTGTAAGTATTGGAAACGAAAAAATTCTTTTGAAATGATTCGAAATTAGCGAACAGACTACTAAACGAGCCGAAGAGAACTCTTAGGCAAGCCAGACTACACCAGCTAGGTTCATATTTAATTTACCATTTCAACTTTGTTGATATATCCAAATTATTTCATATTTAATTTGTCAAGAGAGCTGCGTTTGTGTTGCTCGGATCCCCGGGAATTTATTATTCTTTTTATGTTAAGATATAATGAGCAAGATCATGAGGAAGGCAAATCGCCTTTTGAATAGATATCTCGTTCATGCAATATCTTTTACGTCTCATCATTACTAATTTCCAACAAGGAGTATTCTTTCAACACATTAAATAACTTTAACATTCCCGGCTTTGCGTAAACTTGCCTCTTTTTTGTTCCCTTCTCTTTCCTATTCGTTTTATTTCCCTTTAAATGCTTTTGCTTTAAATGCTCTGTGTCAATGTCTTTTGTTTTCATCACTCGTTAGAAAGAAGAAAGTCTCAAGCACTCTAAACAACAAACGTGTCTAGTTACAATGATAAGGTTGAGATCGGACGTCAGCATCATCAGGCGCCTCTGGCAGCCGCTTCAGTCCATGTAACGATCTCACCTTCCCTCCCATTCCACCCAGGGGAGGACATCCACCACACAGTAATCTCGTGCGTGGGAAATTAACGTCTCCTACCCCTAACCCTGCAGGAGACGGGGCCTACTGTTTATTCGTCCTTATCCGCGAAGACTAGAATATCTATCCATTTCTTGATATTATAGAAAGGTAGCAAATTCTCCTCACTTATTTTAAGACCATGAGTATTTGTCCGGCNGTCCGGCCGGGGCTCGAACCCTCGACCTCCCGCACAACACAATCCGGCGCTCTAACCAATTGAGCTAACCGGCAGGCGGTTGGCTCGTTTTCGTAGGCTTGACTTGTAGGCTTGTTTTCGTAGGCTTGACTATCCCCTAACAATTAATTTCGGTTTCAGAGCGTGTACGGAAGATTTGGCAAGAAACCTAACGAACTTTTAATCAAGAAATATGAGTACTTTGTCGATGGGAACCGCAACGCATTGAAACTATCCCGGGGGATGCTTAAAGTCACCGTTTCAAGGTATCGTACCACAATGCATCATGTTTTTCCAGGCTTGTAAAAACTGCCATCAACTTGTTCATCTTCAAGCACTGATTTTAAACTTCTCCCGAGGCGAAGGGGATAATTTGGAATCTGACCGAAGCATTAATACTGGCTGCTAAAATAACGTCCATTGTCTCTGGAGAGAAATATTAAAAATGATTATGGGTATTGAATGGTGACTCAAGAAGGGTTAGAAAGTTATGGAAAGGGTGGATAGTTGGTCATTATTGAAGGTGGATCTGAGTGAAATACGATCGTCTACGAAGTTCTCTGGAGATTTTATTTCAGTGGTCTTTGTCTGAAAACTTTTGTCAGAAATAGGCTGTAAAAAGACACATTTATTAAGGTTTTAATCGGACAACATTTGAGTATGTACGCTCCGAAAGAAAACATGTGACATCTTCGAATTCATACAAGGGCGGATGGGGTCGTTTCAGTAAAAAAGTGCCATCAATTATTTGTAAGTAACACGGCTATTGCAAACGAGTTTTGAATCGAGAGTCATATTTATGAACACAGAATAAAGTAGGATTAGGTGTTAGAGTAAAGAATATATAGATATTACAAATATCATACAAAAAAAGGAGATGTAATTACAAGACAGCCGTACCATGTTGTCTACTTTACACATTATACATCTCCAAGAAACAGTGTGTGTCCCTTAGCAGCGATATATTTTCAAGAAAAGTCTCTGCGATAAAAACTAACATATATTACTTTTTACTATCATAAGGTTTCGAGACGAACAAAGCATAACGGATTAATAGTGATTATGTGCTAGAGTGAGGCAATCAAGGTTAAAGCCTTGTAGTTTCTCATGGGCTTTTATTTCTCTTCAACATGCAGTCAGTGAAAGCATATAGCACGACGAGTAAGTGATGCTAATAGCTGGTAATAGGCCATTTTACAGTTGTGTACTTAGTTGCCAAGCCTTTGATTTGGAGTGAGGCTGAAGGTGACCTTGTCGTGATAGAAACCTGTATCTAGTTAGTATGATAACAAAGTGATTTGCATTTGAAAGGCAACAAGGTTTGTATCAGAACAATTTCACCCCTAGCCTCACTCCCGTTCAAAGGCTTGGCAACCAAGCACACAACTGTAAAATGGATTATTTCAGTAGTACCTCTCTTTCAAGATTTCAAGGTTGAATGACTTCATCAAACTGGTTAGAAACAAGTTTAAGTGGCAGAAATATATCAAGCTGCAATCAGTGTCAAAATTAGTTGACACAATGTGTTTGAACAGCTGGTTCTTTTTATTTTCAAAATCACGCTACCAGTTTACACCCAAACGTCGCGATCCACATTCAAAGTGACCACATCGATTACAATTCTGTTTTGAAAGCGTTATTTACCACGATGACTAGCCAAAACCTATTTTACAATAAAAAACCATTGATATCTTCTGTGAAAATGTTGAAGTTCATTTATTTGTTTAAGCAGGTTGATTAATTTGGCAGCTGTAATAGCTGATGTGGACCTGCTGTCCTAACCCACCCATCCACCCCAGGGGAGGACATCCATCACACGGTAATCTCGTGTGTGGGAAATTGACGTCTCCTGCCCTAACCCTGCAGGAGACGGGACCTCCATTTATTCGTCCCTATCCGAGAAGACTAGAATATCTAACCATTTCTTGATGTTATAGAAAGGTAGCAAATTCTTCTCAATTATTTTAAGACCTTGAGTGTTGGTCCGGCCGAGGCTCGAACCCTCGACCTCCCGCACTACAGTCCAGCGCTCTATCCATTGAGCTAACCGGGAGGCGGTTCAACTTAGCCTCTTCACAAACCGCATTTTATCATTGACTGCGTAACCTTGATAGTGGCGCAAGATGCACCGAAACGTCGGTTTCTATCCCTTATATTTCTTGTCTCATTTATCAATGTTGCATGCCAAATCCCTTTCACAGGTTTGACGTTTAGGCTCCTATGAGGACTGCAACATCGTCAAGAGCAGGATATTAAGAAGAAGGATTACTTTAACATTCATTATTCATTGTTTGCAAGAATCGA